CGGTAGGACTGCTCGTGGAACGGTCGGTCTGCTCGTCGGTAGCTGGTGATCTGGTGGTCGGTAGGTCTGCTCGTCCGTGGTTGCTCGGTGGTCTGGTGGTCAGTAGGTCTGCTCGTCGGTGGGTGGTGATCTGTGGCTGCTGCCCTGAGAGTGTGTGGTCGGTAGCCTGCTCTTCGATTGGTGGTGGTAAATGGTAGGTTGGTCTGCTGGTCAGTGGGTCTGCTGGTCGGGAGGTCTGCTGGTCGGTGGGCCTGCTGGTAAGTAATTAGGTATGCTGGTCGGTGATATGTGGTCGCTGGTCTGCTAATAGGTAGGTCAGCTGGTCGTTTGGTGGTGGTCTGCTGGTCCGTTCGTCAGCTGGTTGGTGGGTCTGCTGGTCGGTGGGTCTGCTGGTCGGTAGGTCTGGTGGTCGGTGGTTCTGCTGGGCGGTGGGTCTGCTGGTCGGTAGGTCAGCTGGTCGGTGGGTGGTGGGCTGCTGGTCGGTAGGTCTGTGGGTCGCTTTGTCTGCTGGTCGGTAGGTCTGCTGGTCGGTGGGTCTGGTAGTCGGCTGGTCGGCGGTCGGCACTCTGCTGGTCGACGTCTATTGGTGGGTGTGTGTCGTGGGGAGGGGTGTCGTCAGGGGGGGTCGCGGGCGCGGCGTGGGGGAAAGTGTCTTGGGGTAGGGCGTCGGGTACGGCGTCGGGCTGGGCGGCGGGTGGTCCGTTGGGCTGTCGAGCTGGGCATCGTGGCTGTCGTGGTAGCCGTCGTGGATACCGTCGTGGTGGTGGGCGTCGGACTGGGCGTCGTGGAAGTCGTCGTGATGTGCTTCGTGGGTGTCGTGCCGGTCGTGGTGGTCGTCGTGGTAGCTATCGCAGTAGTCGTAATAGTCGTGGTAGCCTTCAACCTAGTCGTCGTCAAGGTAGTCGTCGTCGTCGCTGGGGAATGTGTAGGTGTCTTTGTCGTTAGCTTCAAGAGAGGCGTCGGGAAGCGGCCGGGAGAAAGAGAGTGAGAGAGAGCGCTAACCGGACAGTGTCCGGCCCGCTTGCGGGCAGCGCGGGGCCGCCTCAGCGCCTCAACTGAAGGCGACGGTTGTGTCGAGCCACCGTTTGCGCGGGCATGCTTGCCGTCGTCGGTGGTGCGGCTCGGACGGTGACCACTGCAGAACCCAGTAAGCCCATGAACTCTGCGAACTCTGTAGTCTGTGCAACCATCTGCGCGCCGAAGATCGATGCGATGTAACCCAATCTGGTAGACTGAGACGTTGTAGGTGCTGCTTTGCGTTGCGAGTTACCCATTGTATCCACTCCACTCAAGGCTCCAAAACACCCGACGCCCCATCTGTGGACCCATTGCTAGATGCACTGCTTGTTGTCGTGTTACAACCCTCGTCAAAAATAAACTGAGGGATTCTGTTTTCGGTGATTGTATGGTCAGCGCTACTCCAATGCTGACGCTAGATATCTGACGCGGACGCAAGAGCTTCAAACATCCGACGACCCCTCCGCAGCATTGAAGAACGCAGTTTCTAACAAGTGCCCGAGAAGATCAATCGTCGTGATTTCCAACTGCGTTTCTGTTTTTTTTGACGAGGCTTGTAGTGTCTGGTGTACTAGCAGGAGTCTGCTGCCGTTGCCCTGCGCCTTGGCATCTGGATGATCATGCGCAGCGTTCGTCGTTGAGCTCGTCGCACCTTGTCCTCCAACGGCCTGGTTAAGACCCACGCCTCGCTTCCATACAGCATCGTCTAAAAGACTGTGCTGAGGCGCGAATTGATGAAGTAGTGCTTGCTCGTCGGGAGAGGTGTCGGGTAAGGGTTCAGGGAGGGCGTTTGGAAGGCCGTGGGGTCGGTCGTCTCGGGGGCGTGGAAGTCGTTGTCGTCAGAGGGGTGGTCGTCGTTGCCGACGCGGTGGATGTTGTAGGGTTGTCGTTCAGGTCGCGCGTTGATTGTAGTTGGTGTCCCCCTCGCGTCTGTATATCGTGGTGGACCTACGAACGGTGGCAGTTCTTGTGTATTGTGAGTGTGGCTTTGCACATGTGGAGCCTGTAGTAGCGGCGTGTTCTGTTTCGGTTTGCCCGTGAATGTACACGAGTTAGCTGGGTCCAAAGCAGCCATCCGCACTTCGTGAAGCATTGGGACCGCCAGCCGTTGCTGTCAATCCATTTGAGACCGTTATCGCCATCAGAAACTTCACGGGGACCTTCGAGGGGAATGGCGTCGTTGGGAGAGGTGATGTCGTGGGGGAAGGGCGGCGCGGAGAAGAGCGTCGTGGGGAAGGGTGACGTGGGGAAGGGCGGCGTTGATGACGTCGGGAGTAGAGGAGGCGTCGCCGTGGAGAAACGAGACGTGGGGAAGGGTAGCTGGTTCCTCGTCGTCGTGTGTGTGTGTGTGTGTGTGTGTCGTGTTCGTCGGTGTCGTTGCAATCGTGGTAATTGCATGCAGCCCGTGGCGGGGGAGGTGGCACCTCCTGTGACTGGACGCATGGAGCAACATGCCCTGGAGGGGGCGGTACAAGCCAAAGCGGCGGCAGGTTTGGTAAGACGGGCGGGAGTAAGAGTCGGCGGTCGGTGTGGCTACTGGTCAGTAGTCGGTGGTCTGCTGGTTGGTGCGCTGTAGTACGTTGCCTGCTGGTCGGTGGGTGTTTCGCGGGGTGGTATGCTGGTTGTCTGCTGGTCTGTGCTGCCGTAGTGGCTGTCGTGGTGGCTGCCATGTTGATGTAGTGGTGGCTGTCGTGGTGGCTGTCGTGGTTGTTGTCGTGGTGGCTGCCGTAGGTTTTGTCGTGGCAACTGTGGTGGTAACTGTAGAGGTAACTGCCGTAGTAATTGTCGTGGTGGCTGTCGTGGTGGTTGTCGCGTCGCTGCCGTAAACGCTGTCGTGGTGGCTGACATGTTGCGGCCGCGGTGTCTGTCGTGGTGACTCTCGCGGCGGCTGTCGTGGTAGCTGTCATAGAACTTATCGTTGCGGCTGCCGTGGTGCTTGTCGCTGTAGCTGTAATGGTAACTGTCGTGGTAATCGTCTCGTTGGCTGTCGCGTTGGCTGCCGTGTTGCTGACGTGGTGGCTGTCGTAATGGCCGTCGCGTTGCTGCCGTTGTGGTTGGCGTGTTGGCTGTCGCGTTGCTGTAACGGTGGTTGCCGTGGTGGCTGTCATACTAGCTGTCGTGGTATTGTCGTGGTGGCCGTCGTGGTGGCTGTAGCGTTGCTGTCGTGGTGGCTGTTGGTGTGCCGGTCCCGCTGCTGTAGTGGTGACAGGCGCGGTGGCTGTCGGGGTAGCTGTCGTGATAATTGTCGTGGTGGCTGCCGTGGTGCTTGTCGTGGCAGCTGTAGTGGTAGCTGTGGTGGTAGCAGTCGTAATAATTGTCGTGGTAGCTGTCGTTGTGGTTGTCGCGTTGCTGCCGTAGTTGCTGTCGTGGTGGCTGTCGTGGTGCTGCCTTGATGACTGTCGTGGTGGCTGTCGCGTTGCGATCGCTGTGGCTGTCGCGCTGGCTATCGTTATAGCTGTCGTAATAGTTGTCGTGGTGGCTGCCGTGGTGCTTGTCGTGGTAGCTGGAATGGTATCTGTCGTGGTGGTCGTCGCGGTGGCTGTCGCGGTGGCTGCTGTGTTGCTGCCGTGGTAACTGTCGTGGTAGCTGTTGTAATATTGCCGTTGCGGCTGGCGCGTTGACTTTCGCGTTGCTGTAGCGGTGGCTGCCGTGGTGGCTGTCGTGCTAGCTGTCGCGATAGTTCTCGTGGTGGCTGCCGTATTCGCCGTCGTTGCTGTCGTGGTGGCTGTCGCGTTGCTTCTGTGGTGCCTGTCGGAGTGGCTGTCACGTTGCCGTAGCGGTGACAGTCGTGGTGGCTGTCGTGACAGCCATCGTAATTGGTGTCGTGGTGGCTGCCGTGGTGCTTGTCGTGGTAGCTGGAATGGTATCTGTCGTGGTGGTCGTCGCGGTGGTTGTCGCGGTGGCTGCCGTGTTGCTGCCGTGGTAGCTGTCGTGGTTGCTGTCGTGGCGGCTGTTGTGGTGCTGCCGTGGTGGCTGGAAGGTTGGCTGTCGCGGTGCTGTCGCTGTGGCTGTCGTGGTGACTGTCGTGGTAGATGTCGTAGTACTTGTCGTGGTAGCTGCCGTGGTGGTTGTCGTGGTAGCTGTCGTGGCTGTTGTGGTGGTGACTGTCGTGGTAAATGTCGTGGTGGCTGCCGTGGTGGTTATCGTGATAGCTGCCGTGATAGTTGTCGTGGTGGCTGTTGTGGTCGTGGGGGAGAGCTGCTGGGTGGTCTGCTGGTGGTCTTCTACAGGTCTGCTGGGTGGTCTGCTGGGTGTGCTGCTGTGTCGTCTGCAAAAGTTAGTTTGCTGGCCTGCAGGTCGGTGCGTTCGCGAATTCTGAGTGCCAGTACCATTGTTTGAAGTAAGCTGAGTTTTGCTGCCGATGTCGATGGATGATAGTAGTCGTCCCAGATCTGTGTAAGATCTGTACGTGCGATGCGCTCGCACTGAGAATCCGATTATGCTGAGCGCCTCTCCATACTCTATATCGTCTCTTCCGCGCTTTTAAGCCACGTGCGACGCTGCTGGTAAGAATACCTGCTGTTCATCTTGGCCTCAACGCAATATTGTTCAGGATTGAAGTCAGAGAATACGAGTGATGCGAAAAGGATGGAATGTGTAAGTGTTGGAAGTATTTCATACGGTGCGTGGACTGCCCACCTGAGGGCGACACGCATGGCCCCAGGCCCGCTCGGGCCCGAGGCTCCTCCTCCTCCTCCTCCTCCGCCCCCTCCTCCAAGAAGCAAGATCGGCCAAAATCAAATCAGGAAATCACATCGAATCGGAATGTGCGCCAGACCGGGTTGCATCAGCACGAAGTCGACGTCGGATCGGATCAGCTGTGCTACGATGCACGAAAGCCCCATGCAAGCATCGGGCCGCATCGGACCGTCGGAGTATCGGGATCAAATCGAATCGGGCCGGTCGACGTCGATGTCGAATCGGATCGGTCGGATCGAGATGGACCCTGAGGGAAAAGGATGCGCAGGAGGGCGGCAGGGAGCCTTCTCTGGCCGCCCGTTGAAGCCGCCGTGCGGCGTCTGCCGCTCGCACAGCCACCAGCCCAACCTGTCCAGGTCCACGGCCTTGGCGCGGGCGGCCGGCGCTTTGGGAGGGCGGTTGCTCGTCGTCGTCCTCCTCCTCCTTCCTTCCTCCTCCCTCTTCCTCTGCCCTCCTCCTCCCTCATTCCTTGTCCTGCTCCACCTCCTCTTCCTCCCTCTCCTCCTCCTATTCCTCCTCCCTCTCCTCCTCACTCTTTTCTCGTCCTACTCCACCTCTTCCCCTTCCTCCGCCCTCTTTGTTGGAAGACGTTGGCTCCTCCTCCCCCTTCCCCTCCTCCTCCCTCGCCCTCTCCTCCTGCTCCTCCTCCTGTTCCTCCTCCTCCTCCTCCTCCTCCTCCTCCTCCTCCTCCTCCTCCCCCTCATATTCCTCCTCCTATTCCTCCTCCTCCTCCTTCTCCTCTTCCTCCTCCTCCTCATCCTCCTCCGCCTCCTATTCCTCCTCCTCCTCCTCCTATTCCTCCTCCTCCTCCTACTCCTCCGCCTCCTCCTCCTCCTCCTGGCGTCGACGCCGTAGGCCTTCGTCCTCCTCCTCCTCCTCCTCCTGGCGTCGACGCCTAAAGCTGGCTGAGCACTGTCCGCCCACCCAGTCTGGTGGAAGTCGATCGTGGAAATGGCTCGCTGGCGCCAGACAGTGGAGGAGGGCACCCAAGCCAAGCGGACGGAGGCGAAGGGGAGAGGAGGAAAGGAGGCCAGAGGAAGGACTCCTCCTGACCAGGGGCGCCAGCAGGGGAAAGGGGCCGCCAAGGCCGCAGAGGACACCCCTGCCTTGCGGCGTGAGGGGCGTTGCCAGCAGTGAAGACCCTAATCTTCTAGCAATTGCAGGTGCCGCAGTGCCGCCTCAATGCGTCGGATCGGGGCGCAACGGCACAGGTTCGAAGTTCCCGACCGTGAGACGTTTCTCCGTTTCAGTCGTGTCGTCGTCGTCGTCGTCGTCGCCGCCGCCGCCGCCGCCGCCGCCGCGGCCGCCGCCGCCATCGCCGCCCCCCTTTTCCGTTTGAGTCGTCGTCGTCGTCGCCACTCTCCCCCTTTTCCTGGGCCCTCCTCCTCAAGCATTCCAGCCAGAAGGAAATCGAACAGCGTCGTCACCAGGTCGAAGAGAAGCCCCTTCGCAATCAGGTCGCCCCTTCCGTTTGACCCCTTCCCCGCCGCGGGGGGGGGGATCCAGGAGGGTGTCCCGGGGGGGGGCGGGTCGGTGGGGAGGGTCCGTCCCGACGGGGTTCCCCGGCGTTGCGACACCGCCTCCTGGTGGAGCACCCCTCCCTGGGAAAAGCTTTCCTCTTCGATTCTTGCATCCACTTGCACCGCGGCTTGCTCCAAGAGGGCCCTGAAACAGCCCAAGATCGCAACACCACGCCCCACGTTACCCTCGAGACGGCCTCAGAAGCCCACAAGACGCCCCGAAAGGGTAAAAGAAGAGCCCCGAGGGCCCCAAGAGGCGAACATCAAAAATGATGTCCATTCAATGTGTTTTTAATGTTTTCGCGTCCTCGTCTTTTCGGGCTTCCGACGCTCCAAGACGGACCAAGACGCCACCACAATCGCCCCACTACGGTCTAAGAGGCTGCCGCAAGCGCCCGAAAACAGCCCAAGACGGTCACAAGACCGCCCAAGAGACCCCCAAGGCGGCCGAATAGGGCCCCAAGGACGGGCCCAAGAGGAACCCGAGAGAGGGAACTCCAATCCATTTTTCGAGCCGTCCGCCCCAAGAGGTCCAATGAGGCCCCAAGAGGCACCCAAGAAGCCCCCAAGAGGCTGAAGATAGCCCCAAGAGCACTCCCAAGACAACCCCAAGAGGGTACACTCCATGATTTCCCTGAACAGTTCTTGGATATTGTTCGTCGTCGCCGTCGTCGTCGTCCCCCTTCAAGGTCGGCGGCACCGGCCGCAAGGCCTTCGCAATCGCAGGATGCACAACAAGGCCCATGCGAGCATCAGACCGCAACAGACCGACGGAGCATCGGAACTGAATCGGATCGGGCCGGCCGAAATCCGCCGACCCCTTGGGGATCATCGGCGTGTGAGATGCTTCCCCCTCCCCAAACTCCTCCCCCGGGAGCCCGGTCCGGTCGATTTGGAGGGGGGGGGGTGGTCCGGGACGAGCGGGGGGGGTCCGGGACGAGCGCAGCACGGCCGGGACGAGCGGTTCACGGGGCTTTTCCGGGCCCAAGAGGGCCTCAAGACGGGCCAAGAAGCCCCCAAGAGGCCTCCAAGACGGCCCACGAAGGCCCCGAGACGCCAAACGACCGCTCCAAGACGCCCAAGATGGCCCCAAGACGGGCCAAGAGGTCTCCAAGACGGCCCCCGAGGTCCCAAACAAGCCTCCCAAGAGGGCCCCAAGAGTCTAAAATTGTTGATTTTCCATAGTGTTTTTCTGTTTTTTGCTTTTCCGCCTTTTCGGCTTCCCGACGCTCCAAGACGGCCAAAGAGGCCCCAAAGACAGCCCCAAGATGGCCCAAGAGGCCCCCAAGACGGCCTCCAGACGGCCCAAGACGGCCCCAACACGGCCCAAGAGGTCCCCAAGACGGCCCAAGAGGGCTCCAAGACGGCACCAAGAGGGGCCCAAGAGGGCGACCAAACATGTTGAAACTCTAGCTTTCTGCCCCCAGGAGCCCCAGGGGGCCCCAAGAGTGCCCCAAGAGGCCCCCAGAGGCCCTCACGAGGCCGCCCAGACGCCCCAAGGAACCCCCAAGAAGCACCCCAGAGGCTCCGAAACGGCCCCCAAGTGGCTCCAAAACTCGCTTCCAGAGGCCCCCGAGAAACGATGGCCCCAGATGAGACCACGACCGCCCGCGGTGTCGCCGTCCGCTCGGACCCCCCCGCGGAACTGCCCGAGACCCTCTGGCGGTGGCGGCGAACAGACACCAAACAAATATCACTCGCCGTTTCACCCCTTCGCAGCTTCTACTACCCCCAGATTGGCATAAACAAGGGGTCGGCGGTGTGGCGTAAGCCTAAGAATCGATATCGGATCGGATCGATCGGATCGAACCCTGGAGGACGGAAGGGGGGAGAAAGGGAACAGGTTCAAGGATCTGAGGTCGAAATGCTTGTGCGTTTTCGCCCAGTCTGGGCATGCTTTCGCCCTGGTTCGGATATGTCTTTCGCCGGTTTGTTTTGCCCGCGGCGATCCAGAGGGGGCAGGGAGGGGATTCGACACGGGCGCCTAACTTCGCGATTCGCGCTGCGGGCTGCGCGAAGAACTTCGCGGTCTCCGCCGCCCCCAAAGGGGAGAAGAGCAGGATGAGGAGGAATCGGAGCCGAACCGCGAAGCGCGAAGAACTTCGCGCCCTCGAGGGCGCCCTTGCTCCAGGGTCGAGGGAATGAGTGGGGCTCGACGATCGAGATCTTGGGGGTCGAGGGTCGGAGATCGATGATTTGGAGAGGTCAATGGTCGAGAGAGGCAGGCCGAAGGTCGTGCTGGAGCGGGGAGGTTCAGGGGTATACATTCCTTTGGGTGTATGTGTGTGTGTGTGTGTGTGTGTGTTTCGCCTGGCTTGGGCCTCCGGGAGGCCTCCTCGTGGCCACGGCTGCATCAGCCTCGGGATCCTGGTCAGAGCGCACCCTTGGAGAGGCCGAGGGGGGGGACTTCTTCCAGAAGGCGGGCGGGGGAGGAGGGGGAGGGGAGGAGGGTAGGAGTGGGAGGAGGAGCGCACGTCTCGTGTTTGTTTGAACGCAAGTCGTGTCGAGGAGGGGGAGGACGAGAAGGAGGGAGGAGGAGGAGGAGGAGGAGGAGGAGGAATAGGAGGAGGAGGAATAGGAGGAGGAGGAGGAGGAGGAGATGGAAGAGGAGGAGGAGGGGGAGGGGGAGGGGCAGGGGGAGGAGGAGGAGGAGGAGGAGGAGGAGGAGGAGGAGGAGGAGGAGGAGGAGGAGGAGGAGGAGGAGGAGGAGGAGGATAGGGAGAGAGGCAGGGAGGATGGAGGCGGAGGAGGCATGGAGGGAGGGAGGGAGGATGGGGGAGAAGGAGGAGACCTGAGGAGGGAGGAGGGATGAGGAAGGAGGAAGGGAAGAGAGGAATGGAGGAGCGGAAGATGGCCCGCTGCTGAGCTGAGCCCATCGCGTCCAGGGCGCCAGCGAGAGCCAGCGCCTGCACCGCGCAGAATGTGTAGGCGGCGTGCGACTCGGAGCGCGGAACGGGCCCGAACGCCCCATCGTAGTTGAGGCAGCGGAGGAGCCACTGGACACCTTGGCGGCTACCACGAGCGGCGACCGTATCAATGTCAACGCCCTCGCGGTCTGGATTCCAGGATGCGATCCCGTGGATACGCGGCCGCATGGATGCGTTCCCCGCGGGGCATCCGTGACAAGACGCCCAAAACACCACGGAGTCGCGGCCCAGGGGCCAAGCCCGCGAAGCCATGGTTACGGATATTTTTTCCGCCCACGAGGCTAGACACGGAAGCGATGAGCAGAACTGGTTCCCCGGGGTAGTGTAGCCTCTGAGCTCCCTAGGGGGTATCATGGATCGCTGCTTCGTCGCAGCTAAGATTTTAATACAAGTCTCGTTCCTTGCCGAGCGAGACCTTGACTCCCATGGAACAGACACCAAGAGTGGACTCATGCTTGGGCTTCTGGTGGACCCCCTGGCCCCAGGAAGCCGTCAAGGTCCCCAAGGGACGCCCCTGATAGGGCCAAGGCGATCCCCGATTTCTCGGGTGGGCCTCACCCCTCAAGCCAGACAAGTCCTCATGGCCCTCCAACCCAAGACTTTGATAAACCAAGACTTTGGCAAGTCAAGGGAACGACCCGGTAAAATCCGATTGAACTCAAACCAGAACTTTGGCAAGTCAGTCCCCCTGAATTACCAAAGTCTTGGTTTGTAAACGGTATGGTCTCGAGGGCCCGTAAGTGTCCAAGAAGTCTCGCGGCTGGCTCCAGATGGCCACACCTGAAGCGAGGATGCCTGCGGGCCCATCGCCAGGCATACCGCCGAACACGAACTCAGCACCGAAGAACAAAAAGACCCCCGAGGCCCACCTGTGATGTCCTCCAAGGAGCACCCGGGAGGCTAGCCCAGAGGAGGACAAAACGGCACACACGCAAACTTTTGTGAAGGGGAACTGGGACACACAAATAAATACACACAAATCAAATTATTCCCCATATTTTCCATATTTTCCAGGTTTTCGCATTCCCCGCCACTTCCTATATTTTCGTATATGTTTTGGAGGATCGACGAGTAATTGTGTCTGTGTTTTTTCCCCTCCTGATTTTGACGCGCCGCCTGGGGGGTCCAACGCAGATCCAAGAAAAACCCGCGCAGACCGTCGACGCATTCTGCACATGCAGCTTTCTCTTTCTCTCCAGGGTACTCCAGATTTCGCAATAAAAGGGGGGTGGTCTGATTTGGGATGGGGTCAGCTTTGAGCTGTCTTGGAGGGCTCCAGTGGGCCTGGGCAAAAAGCCGCCCTTCGTGGCCTGCTTGGGGGGGTCTGGGATTGCCCGTCCGTGAGGGTTGTGACCCCGTCCTTTTTATGGCGAAATCTGGGGTAGCTTCCCAGGTCTTCTGCACCCTCGGGGAAGGCTTCGGAAACTTATCTCGGCGGTGGACAAACCTCCCTTTAGTAGACCTCCCATTAGTGAAAGCGGCCTGGGACCGAAATCGACGGACCTGGACCCGCAGAAATGACGGCCGCGACGCCCTCTCGCGAACCGAAAAAGGCCAATTCCTTAATCGACATGTCAGGGTGGGAGGTCTGTCCACCCCCGATTATCAGAAGGCCCGGAGGCCTTCCGAGCCTTCTGAGGAGGCCCGCCCCTCTCACGTCCCCCCAGGCTCGCCGCCGACGGGAGGCACCTGGGATTCGGTCGCGCCTGTCCCCCTACAGGCGGAGCTTGGACGAAACATCAAAAACAGTCAAAAGATACCAAACAAGGCTCAAACACAGTCGAAAAATCGCCCCCCGAATAAATTTTTGCCTATTTTTGAAGATTCCTCCTGTAGAGAGGGGGACACGCCCGACTCCAACCCTGGGAAGCTATTTCCGCCCCCGCGCTGCCGCCTGCCGCCCAGGAACGCCCCCCCCCCCCCTGCGGACGGCCTCCGGGCCGCCCCGCATGGCAAGACACGACAGCCCTGGAGGCCCCCCCCCGCTCCGGGACAGCCTCAGGACGGCCCCAGGACGGCCCAGGACCGACACGCGACGGGCCCCAGCCCCCCCCCCCCCAAGGACGCCCGCAGCGGCCCCCCAGGGGCCCTCCCTGACAAAACCCGAGGCCCCAGAGGCTAGAGGCCTCCCAGATGGGGTCCGAGCAGATGGGATCGGAGAGCATCGGGCTCCACGTTGAGCTGCATCGCCGATGCATCGGCAATGCGGCGCGATTCCCGACCCCATCTACTCCGACACCATCTGGGAGTAGACTCTGGCAAGCCCGCTGGCAGCCGAAGCAACCCGCAAGCGACTTGCACATGCGAAACAAGCGCGCAGGTCGAAAGGCACTTGCACGCTGGCCGCTAGCATTCGGTTGAAGACTGGCGAGGGGAGGGGGGGGGGGGAAGGCCATGCAAGTAAACCTGCCCGAATCTAAAAAAAAGGCTCTAAAGTCGGGAGCGGCCAAGAGGGGGGTGTCCAAGAGGGGGGGGTGCAAATCATGACCGGCGGCATGTGCGCGGCCCAGCGGGGGGGCCTGGGACGTAATGAAATGAGGAGAGGCGCCATGAAATCTGAGGAAATATCATGGCACCCGCCATGATATCCACCCCCCCCTAGTCATCACCCCCTATTTTCCGCCCCCGATAGAGAAGCGCCGCCCGAGAGATCCCCCCGAGGCCCGCCCACCCCCCCGAGAGCCCCAGGAGGAGCGCCGCGGCAGCCGTGCAGCGCGCCGCTGGCCGTGCCACACCGAGAGGCGCCCTGCCGCGCGCAGCTTGCCCGAGCGCGGCGTGGCCGGGCGTGCGCGGCGACGCCTCCCGGCACGACGCTGCCCGAGCGTAGTCGGATGTGCGTGGCGAGCGCTAAACACCCCAGACACGAGCGCGTCGTACCACAAAAATCAGCACGGGAGGCTTTTCGCAATTTTCGGCCCCAGGGGGACCCTCGACGGGCCGCGGCACCGTCAAACAACGACCCAGGATGAGAAACCGGTCCTGGGGAAAGGGTCGGGACTTCCAGGAACGCCGCCTTGAAAAAGTATCAGGAGGTCGCACGTCTGGGACTGCACCCGAGGGGGGAACGGGAAGCTCGGCAGGCGCGAGCAAAGCTGACGATCCCGGAGGCCCTGAACCCACAAGTGTCGGCGTCCCATTTGGACGCCCGAAATGGGCACGGAAAGAATGAGCACAATACCCAACAACAAGTGCTGTCCCAAACCAACAGCGGCCGCTGTTGGGCAGGCGGCCTCCTGCCTCAAATGGACACAGGCCGCGGCAGCGCGGACAGCGAGTCCTGTTCAAAATGAACCAGAACTGCCGTTGTGACTACCTACCAGACCACCCCAACCCAACCCGAAGACCCGAATTTGACCCGAATTTCGGGTTGGGGGGGGGTACGGGTTCCATGTGCTTTTTCAACGTTCCCCGACCCCCCCCCCACTTGAAATGGAGGGCAAATTGAGGCCTTCGGGTTGGGTTGGGGTGGTTTGGTAGGTGGTGACGTTGAGCATTGATTGTACCCATTCTTTCCGCACCCGTTTCGTCCGTGCAGCCAGTTCCTGTACTTCCGCAGGCTTCCGCCGGCCTCCCCCCGGCCTCCGCCGAGGGCGAGACGCGCCGCGTGCGAGGCCCTTTCTGGAACGCCCTGCGCGGATCCCATTCGAACGTGCTCCGCCTGTCGTCCCTGCTGTGAAGTGCCCCTCCTTGCTGCGCATTGCGCTTTCGATCCGGCGAGCATCACGAAGGTGTCGCCATTGCGACGACGCCGCTAAGCTGGCCACAAGCATCTACATCAACTTCGTCTATGGCGTCTAGTATTGTCAAGGCTGAGAGCGCGCAGTATGCGAAACGGACGTCCACCTCGCCCCATCGATCTCCCATGAAAGCACCATCGTTTCTTTGCAAACCCGCGATGTACTTTACAAAGCTGTCCCTGTCAAGCCTGTCAACCGCCCCGTATATGGAGAGGACCAGCAATGCGTAGTGCGTTGCAGTAATGTCAGCGTCATGGCCTATATTTGGGCCGAACCCCCCTGGACACGCAACGTCACCGCATTTGAGAATCCAGTCAATCACGTCGTCGCGGCGTTGGGTGTCATCCTCGTGGCATCGCAGCAATGCCATCGCACTCACACCCCAATAGACACCGCCCATGCGCAGGTGCTCCGACATCATATACTCCAGGGACTCCTTGTCATCGTCCAAGTGCTTGAGGTAATGTTCGTGCCGCTCTCTTGCGAAAACTGCCATGCCTTAGGCGCAACGGGCGTGTGCTAGAATCCCTTGGGCCCTTACGCTATGGCGGTGCACAAGACGTCTCGAATCGTTCGGTCACGCTCTCGCCATGCTGCCTGGGAGATCCCGAGCGGGTACCGCGGGTCACGATAAGCATGGGCTTAGAATAAACATCTGGATTCACATCAATTTTTGGGAGTCTGCATGGGTTTCTTTGATCGGCTCGGTCTCATGTAAATCTATATGTTAGCACACGCTGCTTAATTCGAGAGGGCTCCGAAACAGCACGCCGAAGAGGTCAAACTCTCAGAGCGAAGCTCTTCCTGCGCAACTGGCAGGTCGTATCCCGCCTCCTGCTCCTCCTCCTCCTCCTTCTCCTCCTCCTGGTCCTCGTCATCATCACCCTGTACCCCCGCCTCTTCCTCTTCTTCTTCCTCTTCCAGCTCGTCTCCCATCTCCTTGCCCTCCGCGTACCCCAATGATCCCCCTCGTGTATCGCCCCCCCCTCGTCGTCCTCCCTTTTTCCCAACCGTTGTGTGGTGTTGGGTCCTCGTTTTGAAGAGACGGTGCCCCGCGTTCTCTTCCTTCCGCCTTCCTCCTCCTTCCTCCTCCTTCTCCTCGTCCTCCTCCTCCTCCTCCTCCTCCTCCGCCTTCCTCCCCCTTTCTGCCTTTGCTCTCTGCATGTCTCTGTTTCGGCACGCCCCTCACACGTCTCGTGGCCCCATATGGGGTTTCACCTGAGGTCCCAGTGGCGCAGCCCGCATGGCAACGCCGCCCCATTTTGGCACACCCCGCGCACGCTTGTGGCCCCATAGGGAACCCCATCTAGGGTCCAAGTGGCGCAGCCCGCATGGCGGCGCCGCCCCATTTTGGCACGCCCCTCACTCGTGGCGTGGCCCCATAGGGAGCTCCATCCAAGGTCCCAGTGGCGCAACCCGCATGGCAGCGCCGCTCGCACGTTTCGTGGCCCCTCACACGTTTTGGAAACCTTCTCTCGGTCTCGTGCCGTCGGCTGTCCGGCTTGCTGCCCCCTCGGCCGACGTGGCGCAGGCGTGATCCTGGACTGCGGCCGCCACGAAATGGGGAACGGCAAAAAGGAGGACGACGGCTGGTGGCTGGAGCTCTACGTGCTGCTCTCGCGCGCCACACGCTACGAGGACCTCCTGCTCATGCGGGCGCCGCGCGTCGAGTTCTTCCTGGCAGGGCCGCCGGAAGGATTGCGGCAGCAGCTGGAGCAGTTTGCTACGCGCACGAAGCGGTGCAGGAGGGAGGCGACGGCCCTCGCCAGGGAGCTGGGCTTTACCGAATTTCTCCGCGCGGCTTGACTTGAAAAACGTCCCGCCCGAGCCTCGCCGTCTCTCGACGGTCTGACTGTTTGGCTTCGCGCCGCGGGCAACCCGCGCGCGTCGCTGGGACCCTCTCGGGGCGACCAGCGCGCGTCGCGGGAATTCCGCGCTGCGCTCTGCCCAAAGCCTCGCTCGCCCCCGTCGTCTCTCTGCACAACGGCCACAGCTTTGCCCGCTATCAGCCAGCCGGCTAGCTCTCTCTGCTCCGCGCAGCGGACGACCCGTGCGCGTCGCTGGGACCCCTTCGGGGCGACCGGCGCGCGTCGTGGGGACTCCGTGCGGCGCCGCGCCCGTAGCCTCGGACATGGGCGTGCACGGGCAAAGAGAAAGAGAGAGAGAGAGAAAACAAAAATAACGGGAAGGAACCGAGCGCGATCCTCGGGAGGAGCGTGCCGACATGGGCGTCGACGTTTATGCACGTATACTGTTTCGCACGCAGACTCATTCACAATCAGAGTCACTCGCGCTCAGTCTCTCGCACACAGACCTATCGTTTTCGCTCGCGTTGTGTGCCCCGCCACGCATTTCGGCACGCCCTCGCACGGATCGTGGCCCCATAAGGAGCGCGGGCAAACGATGAGATTCAGAATTGCGGTTTTCACAACTGCGTATGGTTGGGTCCTTCGCCAGGATAATTGTCTTCTTCTTCTTCCTCCTCCTCAACATCATCAGCATCCTTCTTTACTCGGTTCCCCGCATCCTCTCACTCGTCTACCAGCGGCTAACTGTCCAAAGTGTCATCGTTATCGTCATCCCCTTGCTTGTCTTCCACACCATCATCTTCCTAGTCACCGTCCTCTCCCATCCTCCTCCTCCTCATCCTCAACCTCCTCCGCCTATCCTCTCCGCTCTCTGGACGAGGAGAATTCTAGCCGCCTGGCCCACCATCACCATGCGGAACTCCTCGCTGGCCTGAGGCAGGTGCACCAATCGGCAGAGACGCACGAGAGGATGCAGGAACAACGAGGGGAAACGCATCTGAAGAATGATACCGAGGAGGGGGAGGATGAGGAGGAGGATGATCAGCAGGATGATGAGAATGATGACGAGGAGAGATATCCGCAGTGAGCGGATCAAGCTCCGAGAAAGCTGCGCATGCGTGGCCGAGCGCGACTCGGGAATCAAAAGCATTCCGCTGCATGGTTTCATGGTCCCTGTCACATGTCCTCCAGCATGAGCTCCGCATTCTCTGGGGATGCCTTCCCCTGTGGCAGCGGTAGTGTGAACATGTAAAGCAGCTTTGCTTACACACTCGTGCTCCATGCGGCAGTGGCGCCAAGGACGCTGACGCTGGTCCACGTAGGAGTTTAAACTTGCTGATCCCTTGGGGCTCCTCGGCGTGTGCAAAACTTGCTCCTCTCGGACGGGTGTTCAGGGGGGGGGACCTCAATGGGGGGTGAAGAATGGGGCCCTAATTAAAGGGGCCTTTTAGAGCTCCTTTTGGACCCCTCTCGGCTCCAGAAGGGGCCCTAAACGGCTCCTGTAGGGCCTCTTTCTCAACCCCTCATTCGTTCAGTCCCCCTTAACACCCGCCCGACCCTCCCCAAGCACCTCTCCCATGGGAGCCCAGTCTGGACGCCTTGGAAAGGGAGGGGGGGGAAAGATGCCTGCGGGCGCCTCTGGCCCAGAGGGGTCCCCAGGCGAGCCAATGTTACGCAAAAAAGCTCCGCGGCGGCTCACAGATGCTCTGGGTCGTTCCTAGATAGGTCCAAGAGGGCCCAGTACGGCCTCAACACAGCCTCAGAGGATCCCGAGACGACCCAAGAGAGCCCCACGAGCCCGGCCCATGGGGGGCCCCAAGAGGGCCGTGCCAAGATGCAACAAATGTTGATCTTCTCGTGGTTCTTCTACATGTTAGGTATGCTCGCTTTTTCCGGGCTTCAGGAGTCTACAAGAAAGCCCGGTGGGCCCCCGAGATCGCCCCAAGACGGCCCAAAAGGCCCCCAGGAGGGTCCCCAGTCATCAATCGGCCCACGAGGGAACCCACACGGCCCGAGAGGGCTCAAACATGGTCCAATAGGTCCCCAAGGCTGCCCAAGAGCGCCCCCCCGTAAAGGGCCCCAGGAGGAGCCCAAGAGGGGGAACCCGAAGGGGGCCCAGGAGCCCTCCCCCACCGGATGGCCCACGGGTCGCCATTAGGATAGAGTCGGGCCTGTCCTCCTACAGGGGGATTTTGCACGAAACATGGAAATTACCCTGGCGACGTACCCAACCCCTGCGCAATGCGGGGCATGAGTAGCTTGGGAGACGTTATACGGAGATGATGACGTGACATGGGCGCATACCCTTCTGCAAGCGGCATTCGTGAGGCTCGCAACCCCCCAGGGATTGCGATGTCCCGCTCAGATCTGCCTGGTGCCTCGCTCCGCTGGACCCACCAGCAGCCCTCGAAAGTGGCGACGGTTTCGCAGATCGCAGCCCCCCAGGGACGGCGAGGTCCCGCTCAGGTCCGCGCGGTGCCTCACTCCGCAGGACCCACCAGCAGCCCTCGAAAATGGCGACGGTTTCGCAGATCGCAGCCCCCCAGGGACGGCGAGGTCCCGCTCAGGTCCGCGCGGTGCCTCACTTCGCAGGACCCACCAGCAGCCCTCGAAAGTGGCGACGGTTTCGCAGATCGCAGCCCCCCAGGGAAGGCGATGTCCCGCTCAGGTCCGCGCGGTGCCTCACCCCGCAGGACCCACCAGCAGCCCTCGAAAGTGGCGACGGTTTCGCAGATCGCAGCCCCCAGGGATGGCGATGTCCCGCTCAGGTCCGCGCGGTGCCTCACTCCGCAGGACCCACCAGCAGCCCTCGAAAGTGGCGACCGTTTCGCAGATCGCAGCCCCCAGGGACGGCGAGGTCCCGCTCAGGTCCGCGCGGTGCCTCACCCCGCAGGACCGACCAGCAGCCCTCGAAAAGTGGCGACGGTTTCGCAGATCGCAGCCCCCCAGGGACGGCGAGGTCCCGCTCAGGTCGGCGCGGTGCCTCACCTCGCAGGACCCCAGCAGGCCTCGAAAGTGGCGACCGTTTCGCAGATCGCAGCCCCCCAGGGACGGCGAGGTCCCGCTCAGGTCCGCGCGGTGCCTCACTCCGCAGGACCCACCAGCAGCCCTCGAAAGTGGCGACCGTTTCGCAGATCGCAGCCCCCACCAGGGATGGCGAGGTCAAATTTGGGTCCGCGCGTGGCGTCACTGTGCAGGGCCCCCCCAGCAGGCCTCGAAAGTGGCGACAGTTTCACAGATCGCAGCCCCCCAGGGATGGCGAGGTCTAATTTGGGTGTTCGCGTGGCGTCACTGTGCTGGGCCCCCCAGCAGGCCTCGAAAGTGGCGACAGTTTCACAGATCGCAGCCCCCCAGGGACGGCGAGGTCCCGCTCAGGTCCGCGCGGTGCCTCACTCCGCAGGACCCACCAGCAGCCCTCGAAAGTGGCGACCGTTTCGCAGATCGCAGCCCCCCCCAGGGATGGCGAGGTCAAATTTGGGTCCCCGCGTGGCGTCACTGTGCTGGGCCCCCCAGCAGGCCTCGAAAGTGGCGACAGTTTCACAGATCGCAGCCCCCAGGAATGGCGAGGTCTAATTTGGGTCCGCGCGTGGCGTCACTGTGCTGGACCCCCCCCAGCAGGCCTCGAAAGTGGCGACAGTTTCACAGATCGCAGCCCCCCGCAGGCAAGACAGGAGGAGGCAGGCAGGAGGCAGGAGGAAGGCGGGAGGAAGGAAGGTGGAGACCACAGTCCCTTATCCAGAACGAATACCCAACCAAGGAGGGTTGGGAAATACAAAAAAATCATCAAACATAGCTAATAATTTTCAAAACAAAAATCGTCCCCAGACTATTTTTGACTATGTTTGAATTTCCCCCCTGTAGAGGGACAGGCCCGACTTAACCCTACTTACATCTGAGGCACATGAAGCCCGAGCGGGAGTCACCGTACCAAGAGCACGTTGGCCACCCAGGCGACACCACGATGTTGTCAGGCTTCAGAGCCTTGGTGCCGAAGTGGGCGGCGAAGCGGGCGCGGTACTGCCACGCTCTCTGAAGTTGGACACGCCACTCGACCATCTTGCCCCTCTATAAGACACGGTGCAGAAAGCGAGCCCATCTGCAGCCAAGCCAGCTAGCCATGCCGCAATGTCCAGGGCCGGCCATCTCCGTCCCCTCCACCTGGATCCGATGGCATGTCCTGTAGCGAACTTATTGTTCTTGGTTCTTGACCGTCGCCACAAGCTCCATGTTCTCGATGCCTTTCATCGGATACTCGGGGTTGTCGAACACCGTCGCCTTCGCCGTGCTCCGCACGGTATGTTCCCCATTGTGGTGTGCTCGTGCTGAGTATCCCTCTCCCACCATCGCGAATCTACTCACTGCGATTGGCATGGCTGACGTCGGCCTTGATGAAGAAATTCCCGCACTCCTGTCCCACGCGCGCGCAGTTCTGTCAGGAATGGCGGAATCAAACAAAGAAAGTGATGACAATCATCGCGGACTCGGTGACCTGTGCTGCGACCTCTGCCGCAGCACCATGCTCTTTATCGATCGTCTCGTACTCGGTGTGGGCCACCACGGCGCCCTCATGCGTGCTCGACCAGGTGCTGGAATGACTGGGCGTCCATGGGCGGAGTACTGCGGAAACCAGTCCACAAGAAACCTTCCACAAGGAACCCAACCCTGAGACCCCAGGACGTCTATGGATTTGTGGTGTGGGAACGTCACGCTCTCCATGGGAAAACATCGAAACCCACGAAATCCAGGGCACCCTGGAGGCAAGCAGGGTGTTTATTGGCAAAGGTCCCCACCGCAGGGCACGGCTGCTCGGCCGACGCCTGTGCGGTCGACCCTCCGCAGCTCCGCGGCCAGCGGCGCTCCGAGCAACGCACCCTCGGGTCACCGTGCGCTGCCACCCGTGATGCGGGTCGCCGAGCCCGTCTGGCGCGCCGCGTCTTCCAGGCTCCTCTGCCGGCGTCGCCTGGAAGTCTGGCCGACGGGCCTTCCGAAAAGCGGGATAAATCGCGGGTGAAGAGGACGAGCAGGATCGGTTCCGTTCTCATTTTTCCTCTCTCCCTACCTTTTTCTTTCTTAAAACAAGGCTAGCATCGGGATAAATCGCTCCAGAGCGTTCCGGAGCGCTCTCAGAGCGTTCCGGAACGCTCTGGAGCGGCCGCGGCGCCCAATACATCCTCCAAGCCCGCCGATTCTCAGAGATTTCGAGTTATCCCGATCCGATTTTGTCCCGATCTTCGCGTCGTTTTACCTTCCGAAAAGCTAGGGCTACTCCTGACCTGCCGCGCCCTCCTCCTCCGCGCCCTCCTCCGGACTGGGGGCCGAGGGCGTGGGGGGGGCGCTGCAGGGGAGCGTGGCTCTGGGCCTGGGAGCCAGCCTCCTTGCTCCTTGCTCGTCCACCCGCGTGCCACTCAGGCCTACCGCAGCAAAGAAACGGGAAGAGAAAGTTAGAGAGAGAGAGAGAAAAAAAAAAAAAAAAAAAAACGGTAGGGAGAGAGGAGAAATGAGAACGGGAACCGATCCTGCTCGTCCTCTTCATCCTGCTGCTCTTCATACTCTCTCTCTCTCTCTCTCTCCCTCCTGCTCGCCCCCCTCTTCGCCTCCTCGCTCTCGCCCCGTCTCCCCCCTCCTCCTCCGACCCTTGAGACCTTGGGCGGCAAGCCCTGGGTGCGTGGCGGCCCCTGCCGAAGCCAACGGCAAGAATCATGGAAGTGGGCGGCGTACCGGCCGCGAGGTGGCCCTGGGAAGGCGTCCTTCAGCGTGCTCCGCGCACGCCAGCTGAGCAAGGGGGAATGGACAGGCAGAGGAGGAGGAGTAGGAGAACGACAAGGAAGCAAAGGGGAGGAGGCAGGAACGAAACAGGCGGTCTCAATGATAGGAGCAAGCTCGGTGCCCACATATGTCCTCACGGTTTCTCTCCTCCTTCTGCCTCCTCCTCGTCTCCCTTATCTTGCCCTCCAAGCCCCCAGTAGCGATTCCGCGCGTTCCTGGGCGGGGTGGGCGATCTTGCCCCCATCGGTGATGCATGGGTGATGGGGGGTCGATGCGGTACCCCCCCCAACCTGAGCCTATCCCCCCTGACGCTGCCACTGATCGTCGCCTCCCTGCACCTCCCCTCCTCCCCCTGACTACACAAGCGCGCTCCACTGTCCGCAGAGGGTAACTACTCGCGAAAATGGCCTGGATCCGCTGCGGGGCATCTACGGTCCATCACATCGAAAAAACATGTGTTTTTCGGTCTCTTGCGAGTCGGCATTCGAGTAGTGGAACGCGCTCGGTGACACTGACCATCCCCTCCCCCCTCGCTCTCACTCTCGGCCGCCTGCGGCAGAGCCCACACGGCCTTCAGGATCCGCAGCTTGCGCGTGCACGACAGCTTCGCGGCGCGCTCGTGGCGTGGCGATCTTTTGTGTTGTTGGGGCCGCTGCGGCGCCTGCTGGAGCGATCCCTTCGCGCCACGCTCTCTTCGTGCCAGCCTCCGGGACCGACGGGGCAAGGATGCGCGGCAAGGATGCAAGGGCCTTGGAAGGTCATTTGGCGTTTCTCGAACGGGGCTGGCCAGCGAAAGTAGCCAAGGAGGGGCCGAATGGGGCAAGGATGCAAGGGTAACATAGGAAAGTTGCTCATCCTTGCTGTACGCTTCGACCGTACTCCTCTTCCCCGCCTCAACCAGAGCCTTTTTCTGGACATTGTGCGTACTTATGCTACTGAACTGGAGCGTGCCACCGATGAGCGCAAAAGAGTGCGTGAAGCCGGCTTCGGTAAAGCGCGAGCAAATTTGGCGACGGCAGCGCCGAATATTGAAATGACAGGGCAAGCAAAGGTAAGCAGGCCCAAAGGCTCGAAGTATACGCCAGCCAGGAAGAGGAGGAGGAGGAGGAGGAGGAGGAGGAGGAGGAGGAGGAGGATAATGAGAAGGAGAAGGAGGAGGAGGAGGAAAGGAACTTCGCCGAAGGCCCCAATGCCAGGGTCCACATCTGGCTCCCTGCCAGCCGCACGTTTCTTTCGCACGGGCGGCACGCTCACCGTTAAAGGGAGCGCCACCGAATGCCCCGTCATAGTTATCCTTCACACGTCTCGTGGGCTCCCGAATCTCCCGAATCCCCTGAATCCTGGGGAACCTTCCTACGAAGTTCGTAGATCGTGCATTTTCTTTCTGGGGTGGCTCTGGGGTGGCCCACTGGGGCGGCTAGTGGGGGACTCGAAGGGCCTCCGTAGACCTCAAGAGACCTCCAGTGTCCATCGGAGGCCGTCGGGGGCCGTCCGCGTTCGGTCGGTGTGATCGGGGAACCTTCGAGTGCGACCTCGGAATCCAGGGACGCCCCACCCCTCAGACGTTTCGTGGCCCCATAGGGAGCTCCAACGAAGGCCCCAGTGGCAGGGTTCGCATGGCGGCCGTGACCTATTTCGGCACACCCCTCACATGTTTCGTGGCCCCATAGGGAGCTCCACCGAAAGCTGCATTCATACTGCGGTGCCCACAGTTGCATATGGTTGGGCGCTTCGCCAGGATAGTTCTCGTTTTCCCTCGTTTTGTCTTCGATCCGCCTTTGCAGTAATTCGAAGTCGAAACGACAACTGCCCGCGATATCGCCAAAGCACAGTTCAGGTCAACCCCTGCCCTGCCTTGTCCCGCCTGATGGCCCCACCAGCCCCTCTCCATCCCACAACATCGGGGAACATGGTGAGCACAAACTTTCGGAGGTCCGCGCGGATTTCTGGGACATCGGCGCATGACCCACCTCCTCCTCCTCCTCCTCCTCCTCCTCCTCCTCCTCCTCCTCCTCATCACTCCTCCCCCTCCTCCTCCTGCTGCTGCTGCTCTTCCTCTTCCTCTCCCTCTCCCTCTTCCTCCTCCTCTTTCTCCTCTTCCGCCTCCTCCGAAACGCAGGCGCCCGCCGCAGACTCCAGAACCCGAATGGTCGAAGCTTCGACCGCTTCCCGGCGTCTCCCCTGGCGCGCGGAGCACGCCAGGGGAGACGCCGGGAGGCGCCGCCAGGGGGCCCAGCGCGGCTCCAAGACATCGGCGCGGAGCTCCGACGGTTTATGCTTATCGAAGGGGCCCTGGGACACACAAATAAATACACACAAATGAGCATGCTCCCCATATTTCCCCATGTTTTCTGGGTTCTTGTCTTCCCCCCCACTTCCCATATTTTCCTGTATTTTCTGGGGGATCGCCGATTCATTGTGTCTGTGTGTGTGTGTGTGTGTTTTTTCCCTCCTGATATGCTCATGTCTGTGCTCCGTGGCAGAGGTGGCGGTGCAGGAGGAGGCTCGTGGGGCAGCGTGGAAGGGTGGGCCTCGACTGAAGGAAGCGGAGGAGCCACGATCGGGGAGACATAAGACTCGGGTACGGGGGACTCGGGTTGGCCCGACGGGGGCCATCATGAAAATGACGAGACTCAGCCTGAAATTTGACGCGAACTCCCGCTGCAGACATCCCACGAAAACCGGACCGTCAAAATCCAGGGCGCCCTCGTCAAAAAAACGTCGGCAAACCCGAGTTCCGGCTTACTCGAGTCTTACGGTTCCCCGACAGGATGGAGGTGTGGGTTGGCGAGGCGGACCTGTTGCCTTGTGAAGGACAAGTCTCACGCGGAGGACTGGATGAGGACACGAATGCCGTGCGGTGCGGTCCTGGAGTTGCGGATGTGGAGGTCGGTGTATGGGGGTTGGGAATGCGGCAGTCGTGGACCGTGCTCGGTTGGAGTGGAGGCGGTGGAATGTTGGACTGAAGCTGCCGTGGCATTCCTGCTTGCTCAATTTTGCCGGTAGAAGTGGGTGTGGGAGTCAAGTGTAAGCTAGGATGTTGCTGTTGCGCTGCTTCCGCGGTTGCAAGACCAACTCTACCTCCTCTTCCTGCTTCTCCTCCTCCTCCTCCTCCTCCCTCCTCCTCCCTCCTCCCTCCCCTTTCTCCAACTTCTTCTCATATTTATGCCACTTGTACTTTGCATCCTCCATGAGGGCTCCTCCTCCTCCTCCTCCTCCTCTTTTTCTTCTTATTATTCTTCTTCTTCTTCTTCTCCTCCTTCTCTAATACCGAACACACCGTCCTCGACAACCTCGCTGGACACAAAGTCGAAGAACTTCTGCAGGCCTCGTGGCGGCCAGAAGCACTGCACGAACGTGGAGGCGTCTTTCTGCCTCCTCCTCCTCCTCCTCCTCTCTTTCTGCTCCTGCCTCTGCTCCTGCTCCTCGTCCTCGCCCTATCTTCTTCTCCTCCTTCTTTCCTCCTCCTCCTCCTCTTCCTCCTCCCGCTGCTCCTCCTCCCCCCTCTCCTCCTCCCTGCCACACCCCGAGGCCAGGCGAAACTGCGGGCTGAGGGGGTCTCGCCCGAGACATCCTCGCCAGCTATGGCCCGAGAGCTCAGAGAAGTTGGCAGCAGCTTCAGAGGACGGAGGGCGGGCGGCTTCCGGCCTGTGGCTCGCTCTCGCCTTTAGCGCCGCGCACACTCCTTGGCACACGTTGCCAGAGCTTCAAGGACGGAGGAGGAGGAGGAGGAGGAGGAGGAGGAGGTGGAGGAGGAGGAGGAGGAGGCCCCTTTCAACATGTGGCTCTCGCCTTAGCTCCGCGCGCAGTCGTCTCCAACATTGGCGTGCGCCGGGCACATGGAGGGCGGGCGGTGTACAAAGTGTGGCCCTCGCCTCAGCGCCACACGCACTCATTTAAAGCATGTGCAAGAGCTTCACGGATGGAGGGCGGGTTGGCTTCACAGTGTTGCTCTCGCCTCAGCGCCGCACGCGTTGGTGTAAAACATTTGCAAGACCTTCACGGATTGAGGGCGGGTTGTGTTCACAATGTGGCTCTCGCCCTAGTGCCGCACACACATTTGTTTTGAACATTTGCAAGGCCTTCACGGATTAAGGGCGGTTCCTTTTAAACATGTGGTTCTCGCGTTGACGCCGCGCACGCTCGTCATAAACAGTTGCAAGAGTTTCACGGATTCCCATGGTCAGCGTATCAGAAATGGTGTTGTGGAAGGACTGAGGATTGTGAGGGCGCAAAAGTTACATTGATTCGCGGTGTTGAAGCCCCAGAAATTGTGTTCTGGCATGGTTCGGGATCGTCAAGACGCAACAAACAGGTTGGTTCGTGGCGTTGGAGTCCCGAGAATGGCGTGTTGGCAAGCTTCAGGGTCTTCAAACGGCTGTCTCCCAAGGGGGCAATTCCCTCAGTGGAAGTGAACCCTTGTAGGGGCCTAAAAGAGGGAGCCTGGAGGGAGGATGTATTCCAACATCGTTGATGAGTTTTGGGTTTGCACGGGTCGTCGTCCTCCTCCTCCTCCTCCTCCTCGCTCTCCTGACTGGGGGGCGATGCTGGCCACGGTGTTTGCGCACCGCGGGAAGCGTGTGTCGCGGCACCCAGGCGAGGTCGGGCGGCGTGCTGGGACTGCTCTGGGGCCTGGGGCCCTGGGTTCGGGTCTGGCAGTGCTGGGTCCCATCCAGGGCGACGTGGGGCCAGGTCACCTGGGGATCCCCCCAGGGTGGCGCCCACTGTCCCAAAACGCGTGTGGGCCTTGGACTCGCGCGCAGCGCATCGCCTAGTTTCCTCCTCCTCCTCCTCCTCCTCCTCCTCCTTCTCCGCCCTCCTCCTTTTTTCCTCATGATGCCTTCTTCCGCCTCGCTCTTTCCTCCTCCTCCCTCCTCCTCCTCCTCCTCCTCGTCCTCATCCTCCTCTCTCCTCCTCGTTCTCGCCTCCTGCTCGTCCTTGTCACCTGCCCCCCTTCACCTTCTCCTCTTCTAACCCTCTTCCTCATGCTGATCCTCCTGCCCTCCATTTGCCTCCAGGCCGTTCTGGCCTCGATTGTGGGCTTGTGACTGCGAACTTCAGAACGGCGCTGCAATCGACCGGTCACAATCTCGATCGTTCCCCGTATGGGATCCGTGCCATGGCGGCGTGGGGTGACAAGCAGTGCGGCCTCTGCTCCTCCTCCCTCTGCTCCTTCCTCCTCCCTCCTCGTTCCTCCTCCTCCCTCTCCTCCTCCTCCTCCTCCTCCTCCTCCTCCTCCTCCTCCTCCGCCTCGGCCTCCTTCTCCTGCTCCTTCTCCTCCTCCCTCATCCCCTTCCTTCTCCGCCTCCTTCTCCTCCTCCTCCTCCTGCGTTCCCCCTCCTCCCATCTCTCCCCCTGTTCCTCCTCTTCTTCCTCCTCCTCCTCCTTCTCCTTCTCCTCCTCCTCCTTCTCCCCTCCTCCTCCTCCTCCTCCCCCCCTTCCTCCTGTTCCTCTCTCCTCCTCCTCCTCCTCCCTTCGCCTCCCCTTCCTTCTCCTCCGCCTCCTCCTCCTCCTCTTCTTCCTCCTCCTCCTGCGTTCCCCCTCCTCCCTCCTTCCTCCCTCCTCCCTCCTGTTCTTCCTCCTCCTCCTCCTTCTCCTTCTCCTCCTCCTCGTCCTCCGCCTCCTCCTCCTCCTCCTCCTCCTCCTCCTCCAGTCTTTTTCCAAATGAAACCCTTTTCCGTAAACATGACTTCTCCCTGTCGTGCCCCGGGGCTGGTCGAATTGGCGGGCCGGGCGTTTCGCCCGAGAATTCCTCACCGTTGAACGCCCTGAAGGTTTAACATTTGCAGCAATTTCACACATGGAGGGCGCATGGGGTTTTCAACATGTGGCTCTCGCCTGTGCGCCGCGCACATTCGTTTTGTAAAACATTGCAAGAGCTTCACGTATGGAGGGCGGGTGGTGGTTTGCAAAATGTGGCTCTCGCCTCAGCGCCGCGCACATTCGCTTTAAACATTTGCAAGGGTTCCACGGATTGAAAGCAGGTGGTTTTCAAAATGTGGCTCTCGCCTTAGCGCCGCGCACACTCGTCACGAGAATTGCAAGAGCTTCACGGATTGAGGGCGGTTCCCTTTCAACGTGTGGCTCTCGCGTTAGCGGCACGCACATTCCTCTTTAGAAATTGCAGGAGTATCACGGATTCCTACGATCAACGTATCAGAAATGGCGTTTTGGAAAGATTCCGGATTATTGAAGTGCAACAGTTACGTTGATGCGCGGTGCTGAAGTCCCAGGACTGGCTTTCTGGCACGATTCAGGATCGTCAAGACGCAACAAACAGGTTGGCTCGTGGCGTTGGAGTCCCGAGAATGGTGTTTTGGAATGCTTCAGGGTCTTCAAACGGTTGTCTACCAACGAAGCAGTTCTTTCCCTCAGTGGAGATGCACCCTTACAGGGGCCCACGAAGAGGGAGCTTGGAGGAAGGGTTTATGCCAACATAGTTGATGATTATTGGCTCTACACTTGTCCTCCTCCTTCTCCTCCTCCTACCTCTCCGCCTCCTCCTCCTCCTCCTCCTCCTCCTCCTCCTCCTCCTCCTCCCCCTCCTCCTCCTCCTCCTCCTCCTCCGCCTCCGATATTCCTCGCCGTCGCCTCCGCACTTCTTGGACGAGGGAGGGCAAGAAGGGGGAGGAGATCGCCGTGGAGGAGAGGGAGGCCTCCCAACTGGGGCCAACGCATACAGTGTCGGTGGATCGCGCTGCGTCGCCGATGCGTCGGCGACGTCGCAGGAGAACATCGTGCTCCAGATCGCACAAGATCGCCCCGATGTAGCCCGACCCTCCGACTCCATCTGGGCGACGAACGGTAGCGGGTCTTACGCGAGGTGGCATAGCGACCTAACGCCGCGGCTTACGGGGGCCGCCAGCGCGGGACGCCAAATTGGAAACAAGGGCGTTCACGTGCGACCTTACGCGGGCAACATGCGCGCCAATGTCGGCGAAGACGAACCCGTTTCCCTCCGTCGCTCATGTGCTCTTGCCTGATTTGGGAGGCCTGGAGGAGGAGAGGAGGTGCACTGTCCTCTTCCTCGGGGGCGTTTGCTCTCGATGCGGCCGTGTCGGGTTGCCAGAGCGCGAGCCTCCTCCTTCTCCTCCTTCTCTTCCGCCACTCTTTTCTCATGCTATCTAACATGCTCGGCCCTAATCGCGTCAAACTTGGCTGCCTCGTGAGCGGGCATGCGCCCCCGGGCGCGAATCACGCAGAAGAAGTATATGTTAAAGGCGGTCATGACCGTGATGGCCCAGAAATACAATTGTGTCCAATCCGATCTCCCGTACGCCTTTAAGTAACCTGTGTCAGCGGGGTCGAAGCTGGAGGTGTCGTGACGCGCGAGGATACTTCTCGGGCTAGGCATCGTGGATACCTCCTGCCACACAATGATGATGGCGTCGATCACTGGGAAGAAGACCCGCAAGAAGAAGTACACCCACGTGAGGCGGGCGTACACCAGGTTCGCGGACACGTGGGCGTAGCGCAGGAGGAATTTGCTATAGCCGAGGAGGGCCCCAGAGAAGTCAATGCAGAAGCTCAGGTGGCAGAGGACCCGAAAATCCACCCTGGTCTGCGTGGCACACAATATGCATATTGGCAGGGCTTGCCTCGAAAGAGCCCCGGGGAACCCCACACTGGGGTCGAGGAGGACATGGATGAGGATGAGGAGAGGGAGGTGGACGACAATCAGGGGGAGGAAGAGGCGGAGGGAGAATGATCACAGGACAGCTTGCGGCTCGGGCCCCACCTCCATCCGGCCCAAGCAGCGAGCATGGCTCGCGTGTAGTCCTGTGGAATCTGTCAGGGGTGTGTGCCACCCATGTGGCGCGCCATGAATTTGAAGGGGCCCCAGGGCACACACACACACAAAATACACACAAATAAACATGTTCCCCATATTTTCATTTTTTTTTTGGGGGGGGGGCTTGTCTTCCCCCCCACTTCCCATAGTTTCCAATATCTTCTGGGGGAATCGACGACTCTTGTGTCTGTGTGTTTCTGTTCCCTCCTGAGTCATTGGTTTCGGGGAGACGTAAGACCCGGGTACGGGGGACTCGGGTTGGCCCGACGAGGTCGTCAACAAAAACGACGAGGCCGAGCCTGCATTTTGACGAGGCCTCCCGCTGCAGACATCCCACGGAACTCCTCCTCGTCAAAATCCGAGGCGCGGTCGTCAAAAAACGATGGCGAACCCGAGTCCTGGCAAACCCGGGTCTTACGCTCCCCCGACAATATTTTCTGAGGGAATCGACGACTCTTGTGTCTGTGTGTTTCTGTTCCCTCCTGAGTCATTGGTTGCGCCATCCACGGGCTGCGCCGCCCGCAGCTTCCGCCACGGGCTGCGCCACCTGTGGACTGCGGCATCCGTGGGCTGCACCTGTAGCTGGCCATCGTTCGGACGTCCATTTCCTGGGATGTTTGTCGGTTTCGTGCGCGGTGTTTTCGCCAAGTGAACGGGGATGCTCCTCGATGGTTCTCGCCGAGAAAACAGTGCACACGTCCGAGCGATGCCAAGGCACCTGTAGTGGTCGCACACTCGGCGGCCGGGAGCACAACCGCCTGACAATGCTCGAGCCATCGCTTGCGCACCCGGCGGCCCATAATAAGAGCGTCTGCTGCTGGTTGCGCCACGGGCCGTGGACTCGGCGGCCGAGAATAACACCACCTGCTATTGGTCGCGCCATGGGTTGTTTACGCTGCGGTCGATACTACCGGCGTGTCATTTTAGCTTGCGGACTCGGCGGCCGATAAAGGCTTGCTATTGGTTGCGCCACGCGCACCCAATGCCCGAGCATTAAACGGTCTGATAGTGATGGCACCATAATCCATAGGTCGTGTACTTGGCGGCCGTGAAACCACTGTCCTGCCGTAGGTTGCGCCATGGGTTGAACACTCGGTGGCTGAATATGAAAACGGCCTACCATTGGTTGCGCCATACGTTGCAGACTCAACAACCGATCATCGAACGGCCTGCCATTGGTTGAACACTCGGCGGTCGATCAGAACCCGGCCTGTTTTTGGTTGTGCCACCGTCTGCGCACTCGGCTGTGGAACATAAAACGGCCGCCCAACGGGTGCGCCCAGTCAGTCAGTCAGTCAATCAGTCAGTCACTGCAGTCCGCCTCGCAGAGGGCAAAATCGGCCTACGCCCTAAAACAATTCAGAGAGGAGGGAGTGGAGAAGGCGGAGGGAGGAGAAGAAGTCAGAGAACGAAGACTGGGGAAGGCCTCTCCTTCTCCCAGCCGCTGTCCTTCTTCCATTCCTCCTTCTGCCTTCTGCCTCTTCCTCGTTCTTCTCTTCCTTCTGCCTCCTTCTGCCTCCACCTCCTGCTGCTGCTCTTCCACCCGCTCCTGCCCTGAGAAGCATATTCCTCCTCCTCCTCCTCCATCTCACTTGTCCTCCTCGGGGTGCCCCGGTCGCTTGCGAGGCGAGCCCCGGGGATTGGCGAGGCGATGTGGTGGACGAGGGTCTCGGGCTCGAGCCTCTCGGGCAGCCAGTGGGGGGGGTGAATGAGGAGGGGAGAGGAGGAACGATGAGTGAGAGGAGGAGGGGTGAGTGAGAGGAGGAGGAGGAGGAGGAGGAGGAGGAGGAGGAGGAGGAGGCGAAGGAGGAGGAGGAGGAGGAGGCGAAGGAGGAGGAGGAGAAGAAGCGAGGAGGAGGAGGAGGACCTAAGAATGATACCATCGAGGATCAATAATCTGGGTGAACGAAGAGGAGGAGGAGGGGGGATGAGGAGGAGCAGGAGGAGGATGAGGAGGATGAGGAGGGGGGGAAAGGGAACACCCGTGCGAGCGAAAAGATGACTCGAGTGAGCAAGAAGAAGGAGTAGGAGGAGGAGAAATAATAATAATAATAATAATAAGAACAATAATAATATTAATAAAATACTACGACTACTAATAATACTACTAATAATAATAACAATACTACTAATAATAATAATACTAATAATAATAATAAGGATAATAAGGATAATACTAAGAAGAAACGTATGAAGAGAAGCAGGAAGGATACAATTGATGATACCATCGAGGCCCACTCTGCTGAACACCATTGAGGATCGAGGAGAAATGATGCTGACACAGAGGACGCCTGTGTCATCTCGTCGTCCCTTCTCTTCACCGCCCGTTCCACCTCCCCCTCCTCCTCCTCCTCCTCCTCCTCCTCCTCTTCCTCCTCCTCCTCCTCCTCCTCCTCCTCTTCCTCTTCATCCTCCTCCTTCTCCTTCTCCTCCTCCTCCTCCACCTCCCCCTCCTCACTCCTGCTATCCCCCCTCCTTCTCCGTCTCCTTTTTGTTTCACTCCTCTTGCTCTTCTGATTTCTCCTCTTCCTCCTCCTCCTTCTCCTCCTCCTCATTCTCCTCCTCCTGTATCATCCTACATTATTTTGCATCCTCCTCCTCCTCTTTCTCCTGCCCATCCCCCTTCCCCTTCCCCTTCTCCCCAGAACGCCGACGTATTCTTTCTTATTCTCGCAACGTGCACTCCTGGAAGTCCCTACCTCTTCCCCAGGACCGGCTTTTCATTCTGAGCCAATGTTTGATGCCCCCCTGGGCCTGGTGAAGGCCCCCAGAGGTAACAAACGATGAAAAGCAGTCTGTCGTGACTCGTTCACGACCCTAGGAGGTCTGGGTCCTCCTTCTCCTCCTTTTCCTCCTCCTCCTCCTCCTCCTCCTCTTCCTCCTCTCTTCTTCCTCCTCGGGGTCTGATGGCGACTGTCCTCCCGGGCCCGACGCTGAGCGTGTCGAAGACCTCGTACGCTACCTCGAGGCTGAAGGCGTGCAGCGCAAGGCGGGGGGAGCCCACCGCCCAGGCGATGGCGGACGCGTCGAATGGGCAAAAGCCGACCCCCGCCACCAGAAGAAAAGCAGCAACGACATAAACATACTTTTCTGGAGGTTCCTTTTCCTCCTCCTCCTCCTCCTCCCTCTCCACCTCCTCCTCCCCCTCATCCTCCTCCTCTTCCTCCTACTCGACCTCCTCATCCTCCTCCATCTATTGTATGTGTAAGTAACTCCGCCCTGTCGCGCCACCAGACGCGTCGTGAGGGCGGCCTGGGCGTTTCGTTAAACACGTATGAAGGGGAACTGGAACACACAAATAAATACACACAACCAAAAAGATCTCCCATATTGTCCCATATTTTCTGGGTTTTTGTCCTCTCCCACACTTCCCATAGTTTCCCATATTTTCCTGGGGGTCGACGATGAATTGTGTCTGTGTGTTTTTCCCCCTCCTGAACGTCTTCCTCACAAGTTGGAATTCGCCAGCAGCAACCTCCAGGATGGAGGACGGCACCTTTCCACAGATGGCTCTTGCCTCAGGGCGGCGCAGTCGTCTGACAAGCTGTCATTCAAAATGGTGCTTTCGCCTTCGCGCCGCGCACGATCGTCTTAAACGCTTGCAACATCCACAAAGCTGGAGGGCGACTCCGTTTCAAAAGCTGGTTATCTCTTGAGAACTCCTACTGTTTGACGACTGCACGTTGAACGTTGACACCTATGAAACGCGGCTCCTTTCTGAAATGCCGTAGTCATAGGGTGCTCGTCAATCATCGGCGCGCTTCTCGTATTGACAAGGAAGGCTTGTAGTGACCTTTGGCATGGATGCTTAGAGCGAGAGGGTGTGTGTGTGTGTGTGTGTGTGTGTTACAGCATCATTGGTGCATCCTGGGTTCATTATAATCATCATTTTCCTCCTTTCCGTCTTCCTCCTCCTCCTCCTCCTCCTCCTCCTCCTCCTCCTGCTCCCCCTTCCCCTCCTCACTCACTCACCCCATGGCGCGCGCCGCGGTGTCCAGAGCCTCCACAAGCGGCCGCGCCGCCGCGTCGCGCGGCGCCGCGCCTGTCGAACCGCAACAGGGCGGCGCGCCAAGGGACCCCGCAGGAAAGGCGACAAGGCTCCGAGGCCCTGGAGGCAAGAGATGGCGGGGACCCAGGGCCGAGGCAGGGCCCACCGCCAGAGGAGGGGGGGGGGGGCGCCTCAGAGGGCGCGAGGGGAGAGAGGCAGGGGGGCCCCAGGGCCCGCGAGGACGATTGGGGGGGGAGGGGCCTCAAGGGCTATGGATACGGGAGATGGCGCACGGCCTGAATCTACGCTCCAGGCCGCTGCCACGCCGCGCCACCGCCCAGATAGCCAGCCGCCGTCCGGCCGCCGGCCGATCTTCATGTTGGGCGGTGGTGAGGCGCGGGCGACGTGTCGCCGTCGCCCGCTGCGGGGCGGTGGCGTTCGGCCGACCCTCAGTCCCCCAACAAGGAAGAGGCCGCGAAGGGGGCACCAGGGGCTCCTGTGGCCAAGGAGGGGTGGAAGGGGGGGTTCACGGTTGCAGTCGGGAGCAACCTGCGGGCTCAGCCCTGGCCCAGTGGGCCTTGTGCGCCCGCGCAGCCGCCCGCTCAGCCTCCCTCGCGTGCCGGGGCTGCCGCGGCGCCTGGGGCTGCGCGAGGTGCGACGCGATGCCCAACGCCCGCGGATTCGCCAGCCCGTCCGCCACCAGCACCTGCAGCACCGCGGAGGAGCGCTCTCAGCTCTCGCTCCGTTGTGGTCTAATGGTGCATATCTGGGCCGCTGGCGCACAACGTTCTTCGGCCGCCCGTACGCGACGCACTGAGCGCTGGGAATTCCTCCGGCGTGCTCGGGCGCGGACGGTCTGCACGGCACGGTGGCAGTATCAGGGCGCTTTGGATGTTCATTTTGGCGGCCATCTCCGCGATGTCGATGGCCACCCGCAGCTCGATATTGTCTGTGGGGACCGCTTGCATCTTCGCATGAGTCAGGCGCCGTGCTCCCCGCGGCATCCATCACCCCCGCAAGGTATTATCAGTCGGTGGGTCCGCCGCCCTCGTCGAACTCATCGGTGTAACCACCATGGCGCCGCGCTGCTTCACTATGTCGTGCGATCGGGACCTTGCGTGGGTCCCGTCGCGCAGGTCCAGGTCTTCGTCGTGGAAGTCAGTCTCTAACGGCGCGTGATTGCCGCCCGCGTTGTCCCGAAGCTCCTTTTTCAGCGTCTGGTCCTTCTCGATGTCGCCGCTGATCAGCCGGATGGCGCGGTCGCGGCCCGAGGTGTCCCCGCTGGCCCCCAGGGGTCGCGTCGCGCCGTTGCCTTGTTCCAGTGAGGTGCTTCATCGTGGTGTCGGGGGGCTCGCAGCGACGCCGTCTGCGGCCTCTTGCGCGCGGCGTCGGACAGTTACGGTCGGAGGCTGCATTCGCTGCTGGTTCTCGGCAGGGCGTGGGAGCAGCGATGTCCTATCCGCGTCCTCGTCAGTGCGCGCTCGCCTCCTAGCGGGCTGCACTGCCGCGCCCGCTCTCAATCCCCTACTCTTTAGGTTGTTGATGGTCTTCGCGTCTTCGTCCATGAGCTCGAGCGCGTCGGCGCGGCCCATCGGGTCGCGGTTGGCGACGTAGGCGTTGAGACCTCCCGCGACGCGGTGGCGCAGATGTCGGTCGAGTCGCGCACGATTGTGGATCTCCGTGTCCAATCATTCGCATCGAGATCCGACTGCGTAGAATTGGGCGTCGCCCGCGGGGAGACGCTTCTGGGCGCGGCGCCTCTTGAAGGGCGCCTCCGTCGAGAGGGTGGCCCCGCAATCGCAGCGTGCATAGTGCACCGCGTCGCGGCGCTGTTCCTGCTGGGAGTCGGGGGGGGGGGGCGCCTGCTTGGCGGCCGCCAAGCCCTTCTTCGCGCGAGCGTTTCCATAGCTGGCGCTTGCAGTCTCTGTTGCGCCCCCCCCCCCCAGGCTTTCTTGATTGCCAACAGCATATTCTTGGCCCCCGTCTTGCAATAGTCGATCCAGTCCTTGGCGACGTCCATCGACGGTGGGCCTTCCACGCGCGCGTGCTCACATGGCCATCCAGAATCGTGCTCTAGCTGTTTGTGCCACGGGTCGTCCGTCTGGTAGGCGATGTCGAGCAGGTCGAGGAGCGTCTCGGGAGCGTTGCGCACATTGTTGCTGAATTATCGTAATCTGCGCGCTGTGGCTGTTACATCGAGCCCCGCTCGCCCCGCCGCGGCGCGCGCCTCCTGGTCGGTCGCGCGCTGCGCGACCCAATTGCGGCAGCATCGTTCAGCTGCTGCACGCTATCCTTTGACGCGCGCCGCTTTCAACCTCTTTCGGTCGACCGCCGCCGCTCCACGCCAGGGCTCCGCTTGATATGCGAGCCGAGCATTGGCCATAGCATCGACGAAGTTAGCGCCCTTCCTTGCCGGCAAAATGTCGCCCTTGAACACGGTCCGCAACATGGGGTCCAGCGCGCTCTTGCGGGCACTGCCCCGTCGCTGCGCCTCGGGGCCCCATGGGCCCTCAGTGGTGCAGGTAGTGCCAACGTGCTGGCATTCGCGTAAAACGTTGATCTCTGCGCCCCATGCGTCGAGGGTCAGCTTGGTCGGTTACCCGTAGAGGTGCATCTTCGTCTGCCTTGCCTCGGGGCCGTCGATGCATATGAGGGCCGCTGTCTTGTTCTTCCCTGGGTTGAGCCCCCCCGCGCGCGTGCGAAAAAACATCGTATAGTAAGTCCGCCAGGCGCTTGGTGCGCTCCAGATTGTCGGTCAGCCCGCTCGATGAGATGAGGAAGGTGGTGTCTTCGGCGCACGCGACGTCACTCACCTCCCTTGGTCTTCCTGTTGGGTTGCGCGGAGAGTCGGCTTCCGTGCGTTCTCGCATGTATTCCTGGGTCGAGATGACGAGGTCTTCATCCATCATTATCTAGCTTATCGTGGCGAGCTGGCGCGTGAAAGCCACGTTGAATAGCACGTCGACATGTGGGGCCCCAGGTCGGGCCCCGCGACGGGGGGGCCCGCGTCCTCCTGCGCCGCCATGCTCCGCCAAGTGAGTCGCTGCGCCTCGGCCGCGTCGGTCTGCAGGTCGGAGTCGGCAATGTGCTTCTGCAGCAGGCCAGGCTCCGCGATAACGTTGTTCAGGATGGGGCGGAGGCTGTCGGGGATGTCTGCTTCGCGGCACGTGTCGTCGCCGTTGTGCTCGTGCTGGGGGGCCCGCGCCAAGGGCTGTCTCGCGACTCGACGACATGCGGCCTTCAGGTCAACGAAAAAACAATGTGAGCGTGCGCTTTGCCCGCTTGGCGAGACGCTGTAGGCATCGAATCTCTTGGGTCGCCATAGCGGCCCCCCTCCCCTCGCGGCCGCCGATTTGCGAGTCGAAGTCTAGTATGGCCGCCACTTATTTCAGCTTGCTGCGCGTGAACTTGTAGCGGTGCTTGGCGATGGCGTTGCGTAGCGTGATGGATCTGCGCGCGTCTTGTCGCGATGTGTCGCCCTCGCCCTTGCCGGTCTCGGCCACGATGGCGCGTTTGAATACCCGGGGCCCCTGCATCTGCGGGCTGATCTTAGTCAGAAGCGGGTGGATTTCTTCGGCGTGCCGGCGCGGCTCGATGGCCAACATTTCGCTGGCGACGCCGTTGCCCCCTGGCGCACGGCCGCGCATATATCGTCGCGAGCGCAGCTCCGAGTCCAGCAGGGCCTGCACGTTCTACATGTCGGCAAGCACGTCTTCCAGCACTTTGGTGTCGAACTGGTTGCATCTTCTGGCCGCAGACGCACGGCCCTGCATCGCCGCGTTCTCGATTTGGGCATGGTGTCTGATACGGGCTGCTGCTAGCTTCTCCTCGTCATCGATCACGCTGTCGTTCTCGTCGAGGCGGCAGGGTGTGATGTTGCTGCTTTTGAACCTGCTCTGCTGGCCGCCCCCGGACTTCAGGGCCTTCCTCAGCCGTGCCCACCCGCCCTGGCTATCTATATTATGCGCCGCTTCGCTTAACTGGGGCGCGTGCCTTTCGTGGTGCTGCCGCGGGCCGTCGTCCAGGGAGTTGCCGTGACCCTCATGTATCTGTCTTCCTCCGACGCTGTTTCCAGATCATTGATGGCGCCGTCGGCCAGCGTGCTCATGGCGAGCGCCAGCCGCAGCGTCTCGCGTCGTCCTGGCGTCCCTTCGGGGTGCAGTAGCTGCTCTTCGTGCGGCGCGTGGGTCATCAGATTCTCAAAGTTGCCGCCGGCCGTCTTCCATGGGCACATCTCGCGCTTCGTGCGCCGCCTCACTCGGATGAGTCGCATCGAGTGTAGAGACGCGTGGGATTGGGTTGGGGTCAGCGCGTCTTTGGCGAAGGCGCCTGCTGATGCGCCTGCGATCCCCTGCGCAATCTTCTGGTAATGCTCGTTGACATCGTCATTCCACTGTGGCTCGGGTATGTTGAGGGCCTCCTCGTACTTGAGCTTCGCATTCTCGCCGGTATATTTGGCTGTGCACAGTGATCTCCTCGCTGGCTTGGCTATTGGAGTGCTTGATGCGAACCGCGATCAGCTATGGTCGTGGGATTTGAAGCCATGATCGAAATCGTCCTCCACGCAGGAGTGCCGCGCGCACTCGTAGCATGCGGGCTTCATCATAACGTAGTCGGCGCGCTTGTCCTGGCAATCGCCTGCGCTGTATGTCGGTCCAGCAGCGTAGTGCGAGTTGACCGCGGCCATGTCGAGCTCGCGCGATGCCAAGGCCAGCTGCTCGCCGTTTGCGTCGCCACTTGCAGCAGCGCCGCGCGGCCCGATCCACGGCTCGGGGGTGGCGTTGATGCCCAGCTGCGCATTCGCATCTATGAAGATCGTATCCACGTGGAACTTCTTGGGTTGCGTCTTGAAGCCCTGCCGCCATTGCTGCAATTCTGCGACGTCGACGCGATGGCGCGGCGCATGTGCCACGGCGCACACCACGGCACAGACAGGCGCCGCAATCTTAAGCGCGAGCAGCGTCGGCGCGCGGTAAGCACCCTGAGGTGCTTCTCGGCGAAGTGCAAATCTCTGGCGCCTCTGGTTGCGCGCGGACTCCCCGCGGCGACGTGGC